GTCATATTTTAATAGGCCTTAAGTCAAATCATAAGCATTGTCTAAAATATTAAAAATTATTGATTTGTAAATTATACGGGATCTATATGATTTTTTTATTATGAATTATCATATAAATTTAGCGAATTATTAGTTTAGCACATTATTTCCATGTTTGGACTGGCCAATAATATTATCTTATCTAATTGTCATTGATTAATTGGGTATTAAATTATAGAAATTTAACTATACTTTTGAATATAATTCTTTTTTCTAAGGTAAAGAATCTTTCATTAATTCAAATCATTGTGAATTGCACATACAAAAGATACAAGGAATTTAGAACTCACGATATGCTTCCTATCTCTACATAAAGAGAAGACGTAACTTTGTGAGCTATTCGGTTACAAACTATAATTCACATCACTAAACAATGTACAAGTATTTGATAAAATAGAATTATTCGGAGCAAATTGGAAACGGAACCAGACCTCTACTAACAGGAGGGCATTGCTTTCCACACTTTCAAACTGGAACCCATTTTCTTTGGCAAAGATCAGATAATCTCCCATCCACAATGCATCCGCGTCCTATGTTGAATACTGCCCATTAAAGTGTTGGGGTAACTTGGTGCATAATTTATATTCCGCTAATAAAAATTATATGCATTTAATATAGATAGAGTGACAACTTACCAAAATCATGGGGGGAGCATAAATTTTGATTTACTGAAATGTAAAAATTGGTATGAGATGAAATGAAGCGAGGTATGAGAACGCAAATCTTGTTAAAACGAATTTCACCCACTGCACTGGTATTAACATGATCAAATGGACGTCTGTCTTTCAAGATACAATACTTCTTCCAAAATTAATATAACACAATATTAATTTTATAGGTAAACCAGCTCTTGACATACTCTTCTAAAAGGGAAGATATCAAATAGTAATATCGAACACGAAACTCAAAAATAATTTAAAAATTATTTTGATAGAATTTGAAGAAAGAAAGAATTAGAAACCAATTTTTAGGAATTAATTTGGAGTGAAGAAAAGGAAATTAGGAGGGGCCCTATTTATAGGTTGTCATATGTCTCTTTGACTGGTTGCATCTTTCGGCATAAATTTATTTTAATCATTAGATTACACCATTTCATAATTGATGTGTAGATCTCACCCTATTAAAAATCCGGACTTTTCATGCTCATTCCAAAGATCACAACTCTTTATTACGCACCCTTTGTAATTGAACAGTGGTGTCTATTTATCATACCTGTTGTAGACTCTTTCAATTTAAACATTTAAGTTGTATGTATTAAACTATCGATAATCCTTCATATGAATGAAAAAAAGTCGACCAGAATAAGGATGAGGAAGACGAGTATAGCTAAAATATAATGCATCACGATCAGTAGCTTTCGCTTTGAACCTCCCTAATAAGAACCTGTCAGAATTACTTGACTAATCAGAGAACGAAACATTTTCAACTATTGGCTATAAACCTAGACAATATATCGAACACATTATCTTTTACCTCAAATGTTGGTTCTGTAATGTATTAATTATTTTGGCCCTGAACCTTCTTTGGTTTGCAAGTGTGCTAGAGAATTCACTCAAGTAAAATTCTCATAGAATCGAACAAGGTCGCACTCATATAGGTAATGTTCTATAAAGAATCCTCTACAATAATCCACTTGTATTATTTACAAGATATAGTCATCATTAAAAGCATAAGTTATCAAAATAAATCTTTGGTAGGCAACATTTAATTGTATCATAGGAATATGGAGAGTTCAAAGTTCAAAGTTCTTCTCGTCGAGTCAATCATAACTAGTTTTCCTATTGAGCCTAGTCCGTGGAATCTGTAGTGGTAGGTTAGGTTTTCATTGAGCTGACCCATTAATTTAGATATTACACCCACTTCCCTCGATATATAGTCTACTTTCTCTCGATAACTCATTTATAAAATGATCCAATATGTATTCTTTGATAAAACATGTATTGTTCCATTCGAGAGTAATTGTCGAATGGCATTATGTCTATAACACATATGTCTAGATTTGCCATTATACATGATATTCTGTTCCATTCCATTTGTAATTACCCATCTCTATCAAATGATATAACATGCACAAATTGTTACCAATTAGAAATCCTTCAAAAAAATTTGAAGCCATCATGCTTATAGCTCTATTGAATGCTCAAATTTCTTTCAACTCTCAAGTTGTATTGAAGATTTTCACGAAACATCTATACTCTCAATTGTAAAATATATTTACTGGTAATTTTTGTATCCTTTCACAGGATATCCAATATTCAACATTATGCACATATTAATTTTGACAAGGTATTTAGTATAATGTAATTTATCGTTTCAAATATTCTCGAATACCATAATATTCTAATTTGAAGAAAGCAACAAAAACCCCCTACAAATCATGGGTTGCATTCGAACTTTTGATTTAGACTATTGTGCAAACAATAATTCTATCTCCACAAATATGGATAGAACTTACTTTAGAAACATAATATTAATCTAACTATACGTTTATTTATCGAATAAACAATGTTTCACATTTAGTCAACATATAAATCATTTAGGAATATCAGTGATGTCGCACTCCCTGACTAAGCTTTCAACATTTAATTTGAGAAGTTTAAGCCTTTGACACTTAATTTGGATATTTGGATTTCATATAAAGGTCATTAGTCTAGGGAAAGTTTGGAAATTGAGACATTCAAATCTTGAGAGTCATCACAAGTTAAAGTAGTGACTTCCATTTGTTGAACCCAATCAAACTTGAGCAAGAAAGGAATAAGTGATGAGATATTCAACTTAGAATCAAAACTCTAGGAGGAAAAAAAACACTTTTATGGGTGTGCATGATGATGAGAGAGAGAGAGAGATGAAATATTTGACGATATCAAGGGTCGGGAAAATAACCATCTTTAAATTTTATGCGATGGATTAACTATGTACACATTTATTTAACAATGGATAACTGGATGAATTAATCTCATTAGCATATCTTCGAAGTCGTTTATTAATTGTACAAGTGATTTCAAGCCATGAGACAAAATTGCACGCTATCTAACTATGTTATTTGTAATTTGTTTATGAGTGTTAGTAACTAATTTTGTTCTAGATGAATCAATGTTCAAGTTTTATTGTACTTTATATGTGTGATTTAAGTTAACTATTAGAGCCATCAAAAGTGGATACTTGTGAGTCAATTTGATGGAATTATTATTTAGTGTGGTCAATTAAATATTGATTGTTGAGGGAAAAACTCAAATTTAAATGGCTTTTTATAAAAAAGAAGTAAAAATCGATCAAAGAAGGGCAAAAAAGGGAAGAATTATAAAGTTCGATGAGTAAATTGCAAATCTTTAAAATTAATTCAATAAAGGAATGAAAATTAAGATTACATGGATCAAATTTGACAAAAACAGAAGATGAAGGATTAAAATGGTACATAAGAACGGCTCAAACCAAACAAAAAGACAAAGTTGGGGATCAAATTGCACAAAAGGAAGAATTGTGACCACTGTGATCGCAATGGAAAACAAGGTGCGATTGCATCTATTTAAGTTTAAATTACAGTTGGCAGCAACACAATACTTTGTGACCGCTGGCCCATCTTATGGTTATTCGTGACAGAAATATTTTATTTCCTTCTACAATTCGAACTCTGGATTGGAAAGCAATTCTACCTTATTTTAACCTAATTTTTAGTCACAAATTCGTCTACCAAGTTTTATAGGGAAAACATCAGGCAAGGAAAAAAGAAAATCATCATTCTAATTCAAAAGCGAAAATCTTGGGCAAAGGAGAAGGAGGTGCAGTAGGAAATTATTCAAGGAAGGTTAAGAGATTCAAGAATTCGTGGATTTTCCTATTTTTCTTCATAAATTTGGAATCTGGGTGATGTTTCATATTTCAAAAACGAATTCTTGTTTTGTAATGCATGACTATACTTCTACTCACTAGGAAGTAAATGAACCTTTATTGTGAACTGTGAATTGGATGTTCTTGTATTTAATGAATTCTTTCCTGAATATGTTTAATTCTACTCGATAAAAATTCTTGATTAAAATAGGAACATTAATTTTTAAGATTAAACAAGCGTTTTCATGTTGTTGATTTATGTTAAAATGAAACAGTAAATGGAAGTTCTAAAATCTAGATTGGTTAAATATTAATTTAATTAAATTCGTAAAACTCTGGATAGACAAGTAGCCAAAACTAGCTAATATAAATTTTATTGTATGTGACTAGCACATGATTGTGTTCATGACAACAGTTTGATAAGTACAAAAACTAACTAATAAAGTTAAACACGAACGCCAAATATAATGTGGTAAACCCCGAAAGGAAACATCTATGAGCCCAGCCAAGAGTCAGACAACTCAATAAGAATTTTGATAAAAAAAATACATACCATCTGATTTTTGTAATTAAGCAAAATTAATAAAATATCAATAAAAAGAACTAGGAACAACTCTCTTTTGTTTCTTTTTTGAGTTGTTGATGAAGTGAAATCAAATTCACTAGTATTGACTTTAACAACACTTTCCCATTTTACTTGACCACATCTATCATTTGGATTAATAATTTGTTCTTAACTTCCACTACAAGAATTTTATACTTTCCTTACAAAATTTTGGGAGACAAATTGATATTGGTAGGTGGAATTCACTTTTCCCTACGAATATGACGGTTTGTAGGGATATGATTTGCTTTAAAATTTTCAATAATAGGAAGACTTGTGCCTACAAAAATTTATATTTTTTCCAATAAAAATTTTTGACGGGTAAATATATATTTTTTGTCACAAAAAAATTTGACTTGTTTGTGGGCCAGTATTTAGAAGAAAAATTTTCATTTTTATTTGTATTTTTAGTCCTTATAAAATGTAAATTCGAATTGAAAAGATAACTGAAAAGAAAAAATGAAATTAAAGAAAATTATTTCCATATTTTTTTGGCTTTCTTTTTCTTTTATTTTGCTTCTGTTTTCCTTTTCTTTTCTTTTACTTTTTCTTTTTCCGACGCTTCTTTCTTCTTCTCCCTTTTCTATTTTTCCCACCTCCTCTATTGCAACTTCCGTCAGCATATTACCATCCCGCCACCTTCAATCAGCCATCAGTCATCAGGCCCACTAGCCTAATGACCCAAATCAGCGCTTGAGAAAGCTAAGAGGTATCATTTATTCATTTTTTTGTAAGATTGTTACCGGATTTGCAGGGCAATATTGTGTGAAATGTAAATTGGGTTGTTTGTTTGCTATAAATTTGTTTATTTGGTAGCTATCAATTTATTTATTGGGGTATAGAAAAATACCGTAGATCTACAGTAAAGTGAAGGTTCTTACTCAATTGAAAATGTTACGTGTTCAAAATTATTATAATGTTCTGTTTCCTTGACTTTAGATTAAAATTTTGCTTTATGCAATTTATTAGATGTAAGAGCCCGTTTGGCATGGCTTTTGAAAAGTCAAAACGAGCTTTTGAATCCATTTGACTAATTTTGTTAAAGTGCTTTTGATGGTTAAAAGAACTTGTAGAGAAAGTTGGTTCAATATGACTTCCTCTAAAAGCACTTCCGAAAAAGAAAATACTTTTAAATATTAGTTTTCAAACAAAAATTAAAATAACTTTTTCCAAAAGCTCTTTTAAAAAAAGTAGAATTAAAAGCAAAAGCTATGCGAAACGGGCCCGTAATCTTTGTTCTTATTAAAATTGTGCTTTGAATCTTTAGAACTTCCTGTCCCATGTCTAATAATGTTAAAGGTAAGAATAAATTAATTTGAATTTCCAAATTTTGAATAATAATTGCTGCATTCATCAATGACGATATGATAAAAACCTGAAGTGTGGATAGATTTCAAATTAAAATTTGGTCTCTTCTGTTGTCATTAGTGAATTGATTTCATCAAAAGCCTTCCATGATATTTTGTTTTTTTTATATGGTGTCACTTGTTATCTCTTTCACGACGCTCGAAAGTTCTGTTTTATGTCTTTGTGGGGGAAAATGGAATGAAAGAACATGTTGCAATAAATAAAACATACATGATTGCTTGTTTATTTTCCCAAGGCCGTGTAAATTTCTCCACTGCTGTGGTTATTTCATTTGTTTTGTGAGAATAGTAGTATCAAGGGGAAGTTTGAAATCTTTTGATAACTTGGATTAGATCTTGTAACAGGAGTTTAATTGATTCTTTTATTCTTAGAAAAATAACCAGTAAACATCTTTGGAGAAGATGAATAGAAAATGGGGAGGGGTTTCTACTCTTTTTTTTTTACCGTTCTTTTTTCTATTTTCCGACTTTTGTTTGTTGAGCTCTCCACTATAGGTTTTTATGATTTGTGACTTTTTATTATCTTTAATGATTAGACTAATCAAAAAGGTTATTTGGTCTTAACTTTGTATGACGGAGCAGCTGCCCCAATGGCATTTGTCTCCCAGCACGTTCATACAACAAACACATCCTCACTGTACACATGGTATCTTTATACTCCCATCGAGTATTTTCAAAGATGTCGATTTTACACAAATTGTTTGTTTCATAAATAATTACTAACTCAAGAAATATACTAACTTTTTAGGCGTCTTTCTATTTATATGATGAATGAAGTTATTGTGAGAAAAGATTACAAAGTATGAAAATATAGTCGCCTGAGAATTGGATGTATCGGGTTTGGCTCGTGCTTCTGAATACACATTCCTCGTGTTTGCATTCCTGGTTGGGAACTATTTTAATGTTAATTCTCTTCTTTTCCTTTATTTCTTTCACTTTGTTATTCCCTTTTTTCCCTTCATTTATAACATTCTACAGCATTTGAGTAATCATCTTGGAATATTTCCCAACAGGAGGGTACAACACCTTGAACCTATATGCTGAGGATGAATTACATCATTCTGCACGAGCTGGGGAGGTGGCAAAAGAATTACAAATTATGCTCCGGTAAAATATATGCTGGATGATCATAATAATCTTGTAGTTTCCTCTTTCACTTTTTTGACGTTTTATTGCTTTGTAAAAGATTTTATTGCATTATCTTTGGTACAATCAACGAGTTTTGTAGGTTCTGAAATCGTTAAACAGAGCAAGGAACAGAGGGTTCTCTTATGCCTTGTACCTTGATTCGATGAATAAGCGATATATTGAAGAGTTCTCTTCTTGTAATGTCTTCATTTTGAAGGTATTCAACTAATCACATTTTGCACTGATTAATACGATATATTTCATCAAGGAAACTGCGGTTTATTTTCTTAAATTACTTGGTGGTCTTACTCAGATTTACAAGTAATTACTAAAATCATATAATTCATAGACTTGTATGGGAAAATGTTCTTTCTACACCAACAACCAATGGGTTAAGTTTCAATGAGCGAAACTAAAGGAATTTTACTGCATATGTTCCAAAATCTTTTTTTTTCCCTAGTTTGCTATCCTTTGTGCATTCGAACTTTCAATCAATTCGTAGTTATCTTCCTAGATTAGAGCTCAAAGAATTTTTCTCAAATGTGTCAGGTTGAAGAATGTCCTATTCAATTTGAAGAATTACTTGATGCTGACGAAGTTTTCTGCACAGGTTATTTTACTCTTAACATCTTTCTTAAATAGAGTTTGAAGCACATCCCTTAATACGTAACATCTTTTCCTGGTGTAGGTGCAACCTGGAGGACTATAAGCAGGATCAATGATTGTCATCTTCGGGTTGGAAGCAATAGGATTAGTTGTGTGATCTTCCACCTGATAGAATAGAAGGATTTGTTGCATATCTAATTCATGATGATGAATAGTTATATTTTTTTAGGTGCATAATAATAGAAAGAGCATGCTTGCTTTGCTCTTTTAAATTTAGATGTAATGATACTTTGTAAATGGTTTTTATTTTTGTTTTGATGAAATATTTTTAATTCAATTTTATATTGATTGATACTATCTTTTTCTGTTTTTATATTATTTTGAATAAGGTTAAAAAAATTATTACAATATAAATAAAAAATAAAATATATGAAAATAATTTGATTTTTCCCTATAAATTCTTTCATAATAATCTACAAATATGTTTTCCCCATGAAAAATTATTTGTAGGGAAAATACAATTTAGCCCACAATGTAATTTGTAGGGAAAAGTGAAACATTTTGTTGGCAAAATTAACTTTAGCAAATGAATGATTTTGTTGGGGGAAAGTTTACATGACAAATTGCATTTGTCTCCAAAGGGTTTATAGGGAAAAACTTTAGCCCACAAATTTCAAAAATTTATCGTCTTTTATCTATCCCCTCAATGTTTGCCCCACAAATGTGCCTACAAAATATTTTTGTTTGGAGAAGTTTTTTCCTACAAATTCTTACCTTTCCCTACAAATAAATTTCGTAAGGAAAACATAAATTTCTGGTAGTGTTCATATCAGGTAGCTTGATCAAAAGATTATTGTAGACAAATCTGCTTACCATCACGGTTAGTGAGGGCCGGCTATCGCCTAATCTGTGCACTTATCGCAATGTTTGATAATTAAAAATCAGCAATATAAATTAAGAAAACCAATTAATGAGATATGTAAAAATTTGCCACACATTTTCTAGCAGTAAGTAAAGGTGGATTCAAAGTTCTAGTGCGTGCGTGTGATTAACAGGTTTTATGGAAACTTTTTAATTTTTCATTATATTAGTTTAGATGATTAATACAAAATCAGTAAGTAAAAAATTGACTGTTTGATTAGAGCTAGCACCTGTTTGATAAATATTAAAAGATTTTATTTTTTTTTATATGAGAAAAAGAGCTTTAAAATAGGGATTTGTTTTTGAAGAAAATGTGGTCAAGAAGTAGATTTTATTTATTTATTTATTTTTGTTTACGTGCAAAATATTTTACTGTATGAATGTGTGGATCAAAATGAGTTTGAGATAAAAAGTGTTCCCAAAAAAATGCTTGTCAAACAAAACTTTTGTATTATTTAGAACTAGAACAAGTACACAGTATTTGAGAAAATGATACCTTATTTACTATTTTATTGCTTAGTTACGATACCTTGCACTAGCAAAATTATAGCGATCAACCTCATTTACTTCTCGACCATTAAAATTTGAATAGCCATTCATGACCTGACGGAAATGTAGTTGACATGCATTACTGACAGAAATAGACAATTATTAATGGAATTCATTTTTTTTTTTAAGGTCATTATTAGAACTCAAGTTGTTACAACCCGCTTAGTTTTAATCAAAGTCAAATGAGGACGTAAGTTACACAAATAATTTTCATCGGGCTTATTTAACAATTTCAAGTATTTAAGTGTTAGAGATAGTATAATAAAGGAATCTAGGGATTTAGTTTCTATTATTAGAGTTAAAGGGCTAAAAGTTATATCATATGAAGATTAAGGATTTGACTTGCAATTATACAATATGAATCTGCACGGGGAAGTATTGGGCTTCTTTCTGCAATGTCGCGAAATTCGCTCAGAATCGTTCCCATTTCCACTAGACTGTCCCTCGATTCTGCCACGAATTTAGTTTTTGCAGCATTGAAGAATATCAGATTTCAGCTCCTCGCTTAACTACAATTTTAAATTTAGTTCCTTAATGCAATGTGTTCTCTATGTATTGTATGATAACTTGGTGATTATGTGGAGATTATATATTTTTTGTAAAGTTATATAAACATGCAAATAATGAAATTTAGTTCGAATTTTCTTAGTTTACAAGTCGTATTCACTAGATGTCTAGAATGCTTTTTAGAAGTGTGTTTTTGCTTTATCTTCGTCAACCTCTTCTTTATATTCTTTTTAGTAATTTTATCCTTTGACACATTACAAGAATGTCACATGGATGGCTAATGTCTGAACAAATATTTTCCATTAGTTGAGGATACTGATTACACAGTGTTAAAAGGTTGGAGACAAGAATGCCAAATATAAGTATTTAATACATAACATATCATGAAAGAGCAAGCATACCCCAAGATTAGACGAGAAATCTCAAGAACCACATTTTAAGTTTTGAATCCAAATTTAAAAAACTACTTGAAATATCTACAGCAAATAATTTCAATGCAAAAAAAAAAAAAAAAAAAAAAAAAAAAGGGAGGGGAG